CTGCCCTAATTATAGCGGAGTATTTTAGAGACGTTAATGAGCAAGACGTACTCATCGTACTGTGCTCTCCAAAGAGCAACTTTTCTCAAAATCTCAAAAGTTACTGAGTTGGAATCCATATTCCTTATTTTAACTAAACATAGAATATTTTAATATTTATTGAATCTAAAATATAAATAAATTATCCGAATTTAAAAGAAATTCCTTATACTTATTGTTGTTTGAAAGAATAAAATAATAGAAAAAATGAAATAGTTAGTCTTTTCTTGTTAGCTATATTTGGTTAGTGTGAAATGCATTCTTTAGAATAGTTAACTATTTGAACTAATGATTTGAGTGAAGAAAAGCCAAATTACTGACTATGTATATATTGTTTCTTAACAAATTTTGCGTCATTAAAAAAAAGAGAGGAATAGTTGCTATATATTCATGCATAATGTGCTACCAAACGGCGTATTACTATTAGTCATAGAGTTATAAATTAACCAACTTTGGCGGACTTGACTAAGGGACATTTTATATCAGTGATAATAGTTCCTAAGAGGTAACAAAATAAATATGTCTTTCAGTTTTGATTTATTTTGTGATTATTACTTTAATTTTGAAAACTACAAAAGAATCCTTTAAATTTGAAAGATTTATTTCAATTTCATCATTCGTATGCGCACTTTATGGATGAGAAAATAAAAAAAGGATAAACATACCGTTAATTAAACAAAATTTATTTTTTTAAAAAATATTTTAAATATTTATAAAACATAAATTTCAGATTTTTTTTTGAATTTTTATGTTATGTTTTACGTTTTTTAAGTGTTTAATACAATTTTTGTCCTGTTGTCCTAAATATTTTCCATTCACAAAGTGAGCGAGGGATAAAAATTCAAATAAGTTTTCGAAATTTAAAAGATGCCTTTGTAGTTTTTTAAAAACAATATGAGATAAATTGGAAATATATATTCGGAAAAAAAAAGGTTAAAATCTCAAAGTATATTTGATGTAATCAATCCTAATTATCAATTATTTAATAGACTTGTAGTTTTCTGCACTTGTACGTTGAGCCTTCTATTTATTTCCTAGACCATGTCTAATAACTGCTGGCTTTTATTTCCAAAATCGTAGGATTTTCATGTGGCTCATTTGTTTTGTGTCATGAATGCTAAAGGTACATGTACGTATGCCTGTCAATTTTGAGAGCATATATATGCTCTCATAATAGAAACAAAAAACAAAAAAACAAAATGCAGTACTATACTACTATGTATATGTTCTTTGCTGCACAACTTTTGGTCTACATCTACTTTTGCTTCGATATTTGAGCGTTTGCTATTAAATGTGTTATATTTCTGGATGAGCAAAAAAAAAAAAAAGCGTTATATTTCTGATATCATTGATTTATTTGCAAAAGAAACAAAGTTGTTTTAGTAAACGATTTTGAAGTCTAAACATTCACATTAGCATTTATTGGGGATGCTCTTAATTTCCAATTAGCATGGAGTGTCTTCTTTCTTCTTCTTTCCCTCTAAATTGTATATAATAATAACAAGATTCTACTAAGGTTAACGTAATTACATGTTTAGTTAATTAATCCAGTACCATATAATTAAACATCACTATTTGAGAATTTAACTGGTGCAACTTTCGTTGCTAGCTACTTTGTTTTTATTTGCCGATAGATTAATGGTTTGTAACTTCTTTCAACATCTTATAATAATAACAATAGTAATAATTCTTCTTCTTGTTAATTGTTTAATAAAGGTAAAAGGCAAGATTTTATTTTCACGTAGACCGAATTAAGTATTTTACGGTAGGAAAATGCCCATTATAAAGGCATAATTTAATTCCTTCACTTGTACTAATTGGACCTAAAGGCATAAAACTTTAGGAACATTTGTTTAACTAATTGAAACCAATATGAACAATTCCCAAAGTTCCCCAAAAGGTGCTTCTTTTGATTAGCTAGCTTCTTATTTAATAAGGGAAAAAATATATGTAAGATCTTATAAAAGGTTTGTAATAAAATATCGTTCTAAACTATTAAATTATATTAAAATTAAAAACATCGATGATTTTATTAATTTTTAAGTAATTTAATTATTCTAAACTATTCTACTATGGACGTATATATTAACTCGTTAAATATTTTTTGAAAAAAGATAATACATAAAAAAAAATTTGAACACAGTTCGAAACCTCAACAAGTAAATAGTATCTTTTTAAAGCCAAATTTTATCCTTATAATAACAAATCAAGAATCAATACTAATAATAAGGGATAGACCGATTTATCTTAATTTTTAACTATTTAATCTGATTAAAATTATATTAAATTTAAAAAATATATAAAATAAATAATTTTTAATATAAATTTAATAGTTAAAAAATAAAAAATTATCCGTAACTTTTTTTTTTTTTTTTTTTTTTTCCTAATCCTACCTATAAAAAACTCCCTAATAATAAAAGGTAACTTGGAGGCCTATCTTATTTTCCTTTCTCCAATGTGAATTCTTAAACGAAAAAAGTTAGACCAAAAGGGAAGTCTGGCCCCACTTGATGCTTATCAGCTAAATGACATATAGTACCACGCTTATCACATTAAAGTTACACATCAGTTGACACTGACCGTGCGATCCTACCTATAAAAAACTCCCTAATAATAAAAGGTAACTTGGAGGCCTATCTTATTTTCCTTTCTCCAATGTGAATTCTTAAACGAAAAAAGTTAGACCAAAAGGGAAGTCTGGCCCCACTTGATGCTTATCAGCTAAATGACATATAGTACCACGCTTATCACATTAAAGTTACACATCAGTTGACACTGACCGTGCGATCTTCATTCCACTTAATTTGGATCCGACACATCACCAGTAGATCTTGGGGTCGAAAGATCATCTCAGTCTCATCACCAATTCAACGGTTAAGATTATCAAAGAGTTTCGATGATATAGAGGAACGAACCCACGTTGGGGAAATCTAAGAGCTACTCTCGACTGTGGACTTTTTTTTTTGGTTGAGTGACTGTGGATTTGTTTGAGTGTTGTGACAAAGCACTAGTACTGTACTTTGTGTTCCTTACATTCCTCAATTATCCCCCAAAAACAGTTGAATGACGGCTATATCCCACCTTCATAACGACAATAATCGATACGAAGTTGACCTCTTTTTCTCTCTCCTATTTTCCATTCTTCTTCTTTTTTACCCTCTATAGTACTTTTTTTTACCTTCACCGTTTTACCATTTTTACACCTCTTAAGGACTGCTTCTACGCTTCCACCTATACTCTCTCCAAAAGCGAGTGTATCTTATGAATTTGAGACAAGGGAGGAATTGACTAGACACCCCCGTAGTTTTTTGGAATTATAAACACACCACTTTAATCAAAATATTTTACGTCGCGACTATAACTCGGGTAGCTTTTAATGTATAATGAATAAAAGGCTTAATAAGGGCTTGTTTAGTTTGCTGATTTGAGTTGAGATGTGCCTTTATGTGAGAGCTTTTTATTGTAGTAAAAAAGTTAGATGTGAATGTTTTTAAGAGTTTTTTACTGTAGCAAAATTTAAATTCTAAACTCGAATCGGTGAAATGAACGGAGCTTTAATCTCGCCCACAAAATCTAATTGTGTTATAATCTTACGTGTTTTTCCTCACAAATTTGAGTCATAAACCTCTCAGAAATAGCCAATTAAACCAAATGTTTAAAGCATAACAAGTACTAATATAGCAACCTACCATATCTGCCACCTTGCAATGAGAAACCTCAGTCACAGCCTTATTGTGATCAACCCCAATACAAGCTCATTGCCATTCCACCCCGGGTAATTAACCCCGCATCCCCTCGTTAGCGGCAACCACATGAACGTCGTCGCCATCGCACTTCAAACATACCACCGCGCAACCTCGTCGCAATCTCCTTGCCGCCTTCAAACCTCTTGTTATTGACCTCAATTCATCCCTCTAATATCTTAAATTCTTTTTCATCTTGAACTATAAAAAGACTTTTCTTTTTTCTTTATCATTTATATATTTGAAAATATGTACAAATTTAGATCTCTATTGATAATGATAAAAAGTTTCGTCCATTCAGATCTCGATCTAGCTAACCATGATTTCACTTTTTTGTTTTAAAGTTTTTGTGTGCTTAATCTTTTATATCACATATATAATTACTTCTAAAACCTAAATCTTGAAGATTCTACGCGAGCGTAGATTGATAACAGTGATATATATATATATATATATATACATATTCATTATAGTATCAAAGTAATAGAATCTATGTATATTGAAAATGAACAACATTTTAAAATTATGATTCGAATTATAGTTCGTGATTTGGTATAGTATTTTCTCTTACAAAAAATATACGTAAACTGAGAATGATTCTGAATCAAGATTCTAAATTCATGAACGAAACGTCCACTAAAAAAATATCACAATGAAATCTCTCATTTTCGATATGAAATTATGATTCTCTTATGTTTTTTTTTAAAGGCTGTTCTAATAGTAGTAAACCGTAATACACACATTTTCAAACTTGAATAGTGGATAGTGAATAAGGTGTACTCCAATTATTCTGTTTTTCTAGATAATTCGGAGCGTGCTCCGCACCCTAGGGAGGAGCGTAGTGGTAGTAGTCACCTACAAGGCCAATAATATATGGCTAAAGGCCAAACCAAGAAAGGGACAAGGAAAGGGGAAAAAAGAAAAAGAAAAAAAAAAGAGTCAAAAGAAATAAAACGAAGCAAAAGCCCACATCTTTGCACCAGGACAGAATTGTCATTTTGTATAATTTAAGGTTCACCTCTCTCTCTCTGCCCTAACTGAAAACGACTGCAAGCAACCTGTGGTCTACCTGTGTATATATATCCAATATATATATATATATATATAATATAAATCTATATAAAATATAAATCTATATAAAATAATACCTTTTCTTTTAATAATATAAATAAGGAATTTATACACCGACTCAAAACCATTACTCCTCTATATATTTAAGTCTCCTTCTCTCTTCCTTTCTCCTATTGTGATTTCTCTCTCTTTTTCTTCTTCTTCTTCATTTAGTAGTTGGGTTTGGGGTCAGTGCTTCGTATATACATATATACAATATATGTATATATCTCCCAGCTGAGAAAGAGTGGGAAGAAGAGATCATTTCATCAATTAAAAATCAGAAGCTTTGAATCAGGCACAGAAATGGTGGATCTCCAAACGGTGTGTTGCATGTGCGGCGACGTGGGTTTCCCTGACAAGCTTTTTCGCTGCAACAAATGCCGTCATCGCTTCCAGCACTCGTAAGCCTTCATCATATCTTATCATCATCATCATCATCATATGTTGTTGTATGACACATATGTATAGGTCCACCATAAAAAGTTATATATATATATATATGTACACAAACACACGATGATATGATCACACCACATGACCGGTATCATATATACTTTCGGTACATGTATATGCATATGCATATGTAAGTCATATATATATATATATGTGTGTGTGTATGTATCAACATCTATATATATATGTATATTGATAGGTACTGTTAACTGAATAAGATGAAAAGCCAATCTCGTAAAAACACCCCCACCCAATTAACCAGCCTATGATAATATTAATTAACGGTACATATATACCTGATGGGCGTCACAAATATAGAAGTATATATACCACAATAATAGTACCCTGGAATATATCCTGCCATATATCATCACAGAATATGTTCCTCATTAATATTATATATGTAGTTTTCATTTTCAATCCAACCCATGTATGCGAATTTTAGACCTTTTTGTTATTTTTTCAATTAATCTTTGTATATATGTATACACATCATAATTATTAGTACTTAATTAATCAATTAACTTCCATTTCAAAAAAAAAAAAAATTAATCAATTAACTTTTTCTTTTTTTGGTAAATACTAGGTACTGCAGCAACTATTACAGCGAATACGCTGAGCCTGTTCAAGTGTGTGATTGGTGCCAAAGTGAAGGAAAATTAAGCTCAAGACACGGCAGCTCTTCGAAGAAATCGGTCACCGTAGGCGGCGAATCCGGGGTATCGAACCGATCGGAGTACAGCGGCGACAAGATCAAGCAACACGTGGACCGCGAAGATGGCGGCGGCAGCGGCGATCAGAAGGGAAAGAACCCCAGCGGAGCTCCATCGCCAAGGCCCACCACGCGCAGGTACAAGCTTCTCAAGGATGTCATGTGTTAAAATGGATCAAGTAGCACTAGTGCTTGAGAAAAAAAAAAAAAAACTCCAGGTAGTATTATATATATATATATTATATATAAAATATAATAGTCCTTTTAAGTCTTTCATGGGCTTGTGTTCATAGTAACAAATTAATGTTAATTATATAAGTGCTCTAGCTTCTATCATGCTTATTTTTATGTTTGTTCTTTTTCTTGTTTGGTCTATGTTATGTCTTTTTCCCCCCACTGTAACTTGTTAATAAAATATGTAAGTTTGTTTAATATCCCAGATCAATAGCATGATCATGAGTTTCCCAAACTTCTCTCTCTCTCTCTCTCTCTCTCTCTCTCTCTCCCCCTCTCTCTCTCTCTCTCTTGTCTCTCAATTTTGCAACTATTTAGGCTTCTTTAAACTTCGTATATATAAGGTTATAATTACGAAGCTAGAGAAACTGTTTTATCGGTATTTAATTAGATGTCTATAATATACTAACTACTTAATTGTGGGGTTATTGTAGTTTAGTTTTCTTTTCTTTTTTTTGTTTTGTTTTTTCCCCCTTTTCTCGTCTTGGGTTTGGGCCTTGTTGAGGTTATAAGTACTAGAAATACAACACATATATGCGTGTGTGTAGAGAGTTGTTTGGGGGAAGTTGCAAGTTGCGTTATAGCTAGCTCCCTCATTGCTTTGTTGAGACTCTTAAGGAGAATTGAATGCATTTGGTCTTCGCGATCGGCCGAAGAATTCAAAGTACCTAAAGCCTGCTCTAACTTTTACAGATTCATTGAAAGGCCTTTAATGGCTAGGTCCCCTAGTCCTTGTTTGGACATCGAAAAAGAGTAAAAAAACAACAACGACAAATTAGTTTATTGTGCCACTTATGGTTAGGGTTAAGGACATTTCTTTTTATACGTAATTAATTAATTAATTAACTATCTTTTTGTTTGCTTTGCTTATTTGAATAAAATTAGAGTCGGAGGTTAATTTGGCACGGGATAATTTATTAGGAAGAACTCCGCAAAAAAAAAAAAAAAAAAAAAAAAAATAAAAGAAACATCAGCACTGCAAGAAATGCAAACAGTAAACAGTATTGATTGATTCATAATTAACGTTTTGCAAAAGCAGCAAGAGTAAGAAACTTTACCGGTTCAATATTTGCCTGAAAAAAAAAAGAATTAGGAAGAATTTGGATACTAACTTAGTTGGGGATGTTTTTCTTTCCTTTGATTCTAGTTAGTTATTTTCACTCATTATTTTTATTCATGGAATTAAAGAGAGAAAAAAATATTAGTTCTATATATGGAATAATAGGATTACAATATATATATATATATATATATGTATATATACAATCGGATCATGAATAATTGTTTAGAAAAAGTTTTTAAGTGGCTGGTGTTGCTTGTAGCTAGCTAGGCCATTCATTTAATTAACACTTGATATTTTTCTTACGTGTCGACCCATTCTCTGAAATATCTCCAAAGTACAAAAGCCGATAGGATAGTCTCCAAATGTCCACTGTATTTGTTTTGGCCATTTATGGGAAACCAACAAACCCTTTCTCATTGGAGATCTTTTAGTCGTACTATCTTGTAAGCCACATATCCACCTAAATTATTTATTTATTTATTTTCAATCTGCAGTCTGTAATTCTTCCCAATTTTTTTGCCCCCCATAAACATACAGATATTTCGTTTTTTCATTGCTCTCTCTATATATATACACTATATAGCTACTCTCTCTCTCTCTATTCATTCTATCGGTTTAATTTCTCTTGGACCTTGTGGTTTTCTGTCGACCCTTCATGTGAAACCGAATTTAAAGCTTACGGAAACTCTACTATAAATGAGACATGATGATTCCAAAGACAGTTTTCTCACGTTCCACAATTTCCTTTATTTACAAACTATCATCAAGATATGTCACATGCATATGGTTACTTTGCCTTTCAAACCCGGCCTTTATATATCTATATATATATATATATATAAATACACACACACACACACATGTTGTATTTTTTAACTCACAAGCAACTTGTAAATGTAGCATCCAACATAAAACACATGCAATAATACGATTTTCACGTGTTTCAATAATGCATGTACATCTTTGCTTTTATTTTTATAGCCTTTCTTATTCTCTGCACCCCACTATAGAAATAAGTGAACGAGAATTAATCTAAGTAAACGCACTATTAAGTAGATCGTCCTTGTTGCATGGGATTTTCTGAAGGATATTGCATGTTCTCCACCAAGATACATAGTTCTTTCAGTCTTTGAAATGAAGAATATAATTTATTCCAATCAATAATAGATGCGAAATGTGCATATGGGCTTACTTAAGTTTCTTGTTAGAATATATGCATGCGATCATAAACCAAGATTATATTTTGACGTCCTTATTTCTTATTCTAGTGGGTGCCAACTTTGTTGAAATGTATAAGTTGTTCCGATATGAGTTTTCTTCTCTCTCCTCGTTTATTAAAAAATTATGTGTGTGTGTATGAATTGAGCAAGGACTAAATATTTCTATGGATAAGCGGTTATGCAACATCTTACCTAAAACAAAAAGGAGGGATGCATATATAATAATTAATATGTAAGTTTCTGTTTAAATATATAGATCTAGTGATATAGCATATATAATAGGAATACTTATATTTACCATATTTGGCGAAACTTGGAAATGAAAGTATAAATGTTCTAGTGAATACTGTAGATTTTTTTTTTTTTTTTTCATAAACCAAGTCATTGATCATATATATGTTTTACTAGTCCATGCTATTTATTTTTAATTAACGAACTCTATAATCGATTTAATTTTTAATTAACAGTCAATTCCTCTCGTTTATCCCGATGATAAAGAAACCGGCCCATGATAATTAAATTACCTCCAAGTCCAAATAATTGTGCATCAATATCATGCTTTGAATTGATGTTCGACATATATATGGACAACTTGTCATAATTAATCTTTGAATGGTATTAGTTTATGCGCTTTCTTTTTCCCCCAGATAAATAGTTGGACCAATTAATTATGGTTAATGTTGAATTAGTTGGAATCTTTAATTTGCGTAGCAAGATTTCGTGGTACTCTTGAACTGTGGCTTTGCGATTTCATTTGACTCCCTAAACGACATGACTTGGATACCATTATCATCGATATGTCAACTCTCGCGCCACCCCAAATCTCTAAAGTGTTTATTACCTCATGATGTCAGCGATTGTGGGAAAGAGAATGATATCAAAACCATTAATATATTGGTAATATCATTTTAATATTCCTTTGATATCTAAAAGGTGAAGACGACCACATTATTCTATTTAGAAATCTTAAGTCAATATTTTTTCACTTGGGATGAAATTGATATGGATAATGTACGACTTAGTTAAAGACGTTTATAATGATCATAGGGATGGTTATAAATATGATATAGATTATGAGCACTCTAATTAGTCAAATTAGTCTCAAGAATTAAGTGCAGAGAGAATTTCTAATAGGGGAACAGTGCTCCTCAAATTTTATGTGAAATAATACTTTTAGACCATGTGGTGTATATTTTTAATAGTATTTGATATATTTGGGTTTGATTTAAAATTTAAAATATACATTTTTTTGAAAAATTTTAAATATGCTTTTGAGATAACTTGATTTTATAAAATTTGGAAAAAAAAAAAGTTTGCGAAAAATTTTAAATATGTTTTTGAGACCTTGTAAGATTATTAAGTTGATCTTCTCTTGAAAGTTCTATGTTGGCAGACCAACTATTTAAATGTATCATTGATCCTTCTACGCAAATTAAGTGATAGACATTAGAGCATGATGGTATTTTCATGGAAAAATAATCTATTACTTATTAAATATTATTCAATTTATGTCTTTATTATATGTATTCGCAGCGACTATTCCTAATAAAATATAACCAAAGATTTCATTTGTGAGGTCCCAGTCTCCCAGCAGGCCAGTGAGCTTTGATATAGATCTTTTTTCTCTTTTAGTACAAAATTTATACTACTATATTAATGGTGTCGAGAACCAACAATAACTTTGGATATTAATAACTCCTCTAGCATTATCAATCACAAACAAGACTATTCGGTTTCAAGGCAGGGCCATTAATTCAATGGTAATTGACAAGGATCAGGAAAAACTCAGGCAGCTGCTGTACTTGAAGAAAAGTGTGGATTTTATTTTTTTTTATTTTTTATTTTTTTAGTTTTGCAGTAGTTTAATTCGTTGATTCAAGTTTTTAATTTGAGTTGGGATGTAACTTTATGTGAGAGTTTTTTACTGTAGTAAAAAAGTTAGATATGACTATTTTTGAAAATTTTTTACTGTAATAAATATGAATTTTAAATTTAAATCAGTGAAATAAACGGGACCTAAGGATATGCTTTGTTTTGAAAGCAAAAAAAAAAAAAAAAAAAACAAAGGAAAATAAATGACAATAACTTGACCAAAAAGTTACCACCCGCGATGATATGATCTATCTACTTCCCAACAACCCACCCAACATGTACAGTCAGTCACACACACACGCACGCGCATATATATATATATATATATACACACACACACACACATGGTAGGCTTTAAAAAAAATAAACAGTTAGTAAGGTCTCGTTCACTTCGCGGATTTAAAATTTCAATTCGAGCTGAGATGTGATATTTTCTGAGAGCTTTTCACTGTAGCAGAAAATATTAGATGTGACATTTTTTGAGAGCTTTAAACTGTAAAAACTTAAAATTAAAAACTCAAATCGGTGAAATGAACGAGACCTAAATCTCTATTTTAAGTCATCATATATTTGTATAATTAAATTAAAAAGTTGTCTTTTTCATATATTTTTTTATTTTAATGTGATTTTGACTGTATTCAATAGTCATAAACTTTTACATGATTAATAAAAATTACCCTATCATAAAATAACTACACATAGAATGCTTGTTTCATGTTTAGGATTTTTTGATTTTATATTGTAACATATAAATGTAAAAGTGCAACACATAAATCTCAGTATATAACAATAGCTAAGGAGTAATTCTAATAAGACTACAAAA